GTTGTGCTGGTCTGAGTGGATCAGACACAGCAGTGCTGCTGAAGTTTTTGAACAGCTCAGTGTCACTGCTGGACTGAGAACAGTCCACCAACCAAAAATATCTAGCCAACAGCGTCCTGTGGGCAGCATCCCGTGACCAATGATGAAGGACTACAAGTTGACCAACACAAACTGTGCAGCAACAGATGAGCTTTCGTCTCTGACTTTACATCTACAAGGTGGACTGACAAGGTAGGAGTGTCTAATAGAGTGGACAGAGAGTGTTTAAAAACTCCAGCAGCACTGCTGTGTCTGATCTACTCGTACCAGCACAACACACACTAACAGACCACCACCATATCAGCGTCACTGCAGCACTGAGAATGATGCACCACCCAAATAATACCTGCTCTGTGGGGGTCCTAATCATTGAAGAACAGGGTGAAAGGGGGCTGACAGAGTATGCAGAGAAACAGATGGACTACAGTCTGTAATCTTATGATTAACTGGTGTATCTGTGTTCAGAGTGTAGAAATTGAGTATATTTTCTTGGAGAAACACAGGAAAATAGAGAAATATGTCTGAATCAGTACATCGCAGAACTTCAGCTGGACTTGAAAGAGAAATGAAGTAAATATATATACAGGTTTACTTCCTGCAGAGCTGCATTCCAACTCTAATCCTTCATTGGAAACTCCTGGCTTGTGTTTCCACTCGCTAGACATTTATGAGCTCCACCTAGGGCTGCATGTTAATGGCCAAAATGATACCAGTTATTGTTTTCCATATTTAAATCATGATTATCATCATTATTCATCTAATTCGTGAATGAACTCAGTTCTTAATGCTTTATCATTTGAAATCAAGAGAAAACAGCATTTTCTTTTGCAGTGTGCATAAGCCTATAATCCTTTAAATCTTTAAACGCTAAATATGAGCAAAGTTAGACTCAAATACAGAAAAACAAATAGAAAGCATTGATGCAATTTAGGAAATTACAGTGTGATCAAACATTTCTGCCAGAAACATAAGCCTATCAACACAAGATTTAATACACCATCATTAATAAAAAACAATATATAATATTAGCCAGTAACCTTAGGTGAGTTCCCCAGTATCACTGCCAATTATGTTTCATTAATTGAGAAAGTCAAAAATTGTAATCACATTGAAAATACAATTAATTGGCCCTTCTATAAACTCCTACCCTCAACAGTGATTGTCCAGTAGTAGTGTAGCAACTGGAACTAGGCCCAGGCGCTTTACAGTATGCCCATATGTGTTGGGGGGTGTACTTTATAAATGAGATATTCAATGTCTACAGAGTTTGGTGGGGAAATGAACAAAATAATAAAATAAAACAAATAAAACAAAAGTTGTTGAATTCTTTGCATTATAACTGGCACTGTTTGCTATCTAGCTAAGCTAACACTGAAAGTATGTCATGAGACCAAATTGCACAAAAAATGCATATAATAATCCCTACCCTCCAGTACAGGAACTGTGCTGCTTTTTATTTTCCACGTCATCTGTGTTTGATCATACATTATTTGATGAGGCTTATTCAGTGTGCGAAATACCCCCTGACATTCGGGGGGTCCCATGATGGCTGGCTACTCCAACATTGGCTGCTAACTTACTCGCTATAGCAGTGCTAATCCTAGCTTCAGTGGCAACAAAATGTTTGGATTACCAGTTATTCTTTTGGGAATGCTCTTTTTCAGTTTTGTAATGCTTCCAGACATTAATGGAAATCTTACACATCTTCTCTTTAGTTTTTGATTTGAGAAATGAGTAACAATTCACTCTTTCCGCCAAATTCTTGGGAAACTGGACACGTTGTCAGATTCATAAATGTGATATGGCATATTGTAAAGTTTTTTCTGGGCATAGTTACAGTTGCTAGGTTTTTAGGGACCATCTGGGTGAACCAATGCTACAGCACCACCCTGAGGCAGACTAAATAATGACCATTCTCTGAATTTGTATATCGTCGCTGTCCAAAGAAATACAGGTATCTCCATAATAGTAACGAAAGGAAAGATATTTAATTCTAAGCAGTTTTGGAGCATTTCTATTGGTCCAATCATCACAAAATGTTCACACAATGTAAAGGACTGCTGCTGAGCTCAAATGATGCAGAAAAGTAAAAATCACAAAAAATGGAGATACATGTTTTTCGTTGGACAGCAACGATATGAGAGTCTAATTTTCTCTAATGGAGAGCATAACATCATAATACGTTTATTTTCAAGGACTCCCCAGAATTTAGAGACATTCAGGGGGTCCCAGAGGTTAATTAAGAGGTCCCAGGCCCCCCCAGGACCCGCTGTATTTCGCACTTTGGGCTTATCTCTTTTTCAACTTTGATTTGTAGCTTTTAGCTTCCATGTTTAGCTTGTTAGGCCCGTTAAATGGACAAGATGTAAAACTTCAAATACATACTGGAGACGTTTTTGTCTACTTCCTTTCCACAGAACACTCCATAGTTGATATCTCAGGCTTGAAAGCAACAGTTACAGTAGAAAAGTCATTTGCTTTACAAATGAAAAAAGATAATTCAAATAATATTTTAGTAACACAAAGTAAAGGAGAATGTAAATTAAACTTAATTGAAACATAATTAAAATAATAGATTTTAAAAGAGAAATTAATCATTAAATTAAAAATCAAATAAAAAATGAAAGTAGGACAATAAAGTGCCTATTATTATACTAAGCGCCTAATAAATGGCCAATTTTGCTGTCTCCTATCTTACAGGTCCACAGAAAATGCCAGTAATTACAGACTGTTGACCAGATATTATTTGTGTTTTTAGGCCAGGTTGAGAGTGCGCCGCTATCAAAAAGGCTAGAACCATGGACTGATAATTGCATAAAGGGGAAAAGAGAATATTAACTAGCTGATCAGTCACCTATCTTCAGTCCTCCACAGAGCCTCAGGCCTACAGGTACATGTGAAGGCAAGCTGACCCCATAACTGTCGTGCATGTGCGTTGGGAGGGTGGGAACTGTGTTTAGTATATGTGTGTATATGAGTATATGGATTAGTGTGAAGCAGCTGGCTCCAGGCTGAGCTGGATGACTGACAGACCGTTATCCCTGCAGAGTGTGTAAATAGCCCTTGTGCCCAAGGGGTACAGATTACCAAATGACTTGCATGCACGCAAACACATACATTCACAACTGGAGTTTCAAAGCAAGAATCCAGCATTCATAATTGGCCTGTTGGTTCATTATATTTAAAAGCATAAAGGTCCCTGTTTGTACGCTTTACATTAAAGATCCTTTTTGTTTAAAATAGAATGAACCAGGGTTTAATATACTCCTTCTTGTTAACGTTAAATCGTTAAATCTGCCAGCCTCATGGGTTTGACAGAATTCATGATTTTATATGTTTATGTTTTCATCCAGCAGTGTTTTCTCACTACGCTACCCAGCATGCATTACAAAAATACCTCATACAACTCTGTTGCTCAACCAATCCTTACTGCTAGCCACTATCAGACCCTGGCCCCTTCCTATTTCCCCCGTTATATCAAAAACATGACTGCAAAACACCAGAGGGCACCTGCGAGCAAGTCCTCAATGACTGGGGGTGAATATAGCTAAACAGCTAAAAACAAAAGGCTAAAAAAGTTTCTAATCACTCGCCCAGAACTTTCCTTTAATTTTAGAAGTGTATTTTACTAAAAATGCAAAGAAAACTTACCTAAGTATTTCCTTTTTTCTACAGCAAACAAGTTTTGGACAGCAGGACACTGATTGGTTGGTGAGCAGAGCAGCACATTGGCTGTTTGCGCTCACTGACGTCATGGACATACATGAGGCGCCGTTTAACTCGAGTTTAAAAGCGCTTAAAAACATAATAGCGGTGTTAAAATGTTTATGCTGTTCTGTGTTCAGGAAATAAATGTATTCTTTTACATAAAAAAAAATGTTTAAGCATTAATGAACAGGTTTCGCTCAAACACTCCATGTTAACCTATTCATTTTGGACTTGCTCGGGAGTGCCCTCTAGTGTTTAAAAAACGTGAAAGACCTCACAGAGTGGTAATTCCTCTCTCTACAAGTTCTCTGCCACTATCTAGGGGCTAACAAATCTAACCAAGTTAGCATTAGCATCACCCTTATCTCAAAATTGTAATGAAAACAATAATTTTATTGTTATTCAGCACAAAATAAATGCCAGAGTCAATTGTTTACCCTTTCAGTCAGAGAAAAGTAGCCAAACGGAAGTGAAGTATCTTAACAGGCAGCTATACCTTGCTAACATTAGCTTTTAGCTTGTTGTCCTTATCTGGTGAGGCATTTCTGTTACTTGAGTCAAACATTCTCTCATTTGTAATGATGATTTAAAGACTGCTACTACAGTTATATGGCCAAAAAAGATATCTGGCTTCCTAGCTATCTTTTCTTGTTCTGCATTTGCCAAACATTTTAAAACCGCCCACCTCCGAAAACCGCCCCCAGAGCAGTTGTAGTTTTTCAAAATTCCTCCCATCCACCCAAAGATCACCAGAAGGCAGGATACCAAGTCTTTAAATCAAAAAATCTCACTCTAAAGGCTGCTGCGGTACTGCTGTAGGATGCCAGTAACACTTTGGCAATTGCACGCTCTAAACTGTCTCTGCTAATCTGAGAATAGATTTTTAATTACCTTTATCAGGTGAGCTAATGAGCCGAACCTTCCCAAGACCCCCCTGACTCAGAAGCACTGAAGAACATTAAAAAGCTATTAACCCCAAAGCTGGAATGCCGCAGGCACAAAAAGCGCTGATTAATCACTTCTGTGTTTACATAGAGTCAAATTAGAATATTCAAGCATTGTTTTGGCTGCCTGAGAGGAGTGAGGTGCTGTTTGCCTTCATTGCTATGCAAGCCTGTCAGGCTCTGTCCAACTCATGTCTATGGGGTCTGCTGTTGACTTCAAAGTGGTCAAACAGTGGCATCTTGTGGTGAAGCTTTGTCATTACACCCCTTTTCCACTCATTTCAAAGGCCAAAAAATAAACCATGAAGCTTTTGTAATAAAAGTTTATTGAAAATGTGGTAAAATTGAAATTACACATATGACACATTCATTTTAATCTGGCAAAAATGAAATTAAGTATAAAAAAACAAAAACTATGTATAGAAAGACTCTGAGACTGTATAGCACATCCCCGCATGTTTTAGAGAACTGGACTTCGGTCAGAGCAATTCTGCTGTAATTATTGAACATGGTAAACATCAAAAAGTGGTCGTTTGCTTGTGGAATGCAAATCATGTGACTACTTCTCCGGATGTGACAGGCTGGTTTGTGTGTAATTGATGGTCATAAGCAGATAAATCACACAAATAAAGTGTGAATAGTTTAAAACTTTAAATTAAAATAAAATAAAAAAATCTATCATATAAAAAAGGCCTAAACTTTAAAACTATAATGCTGTTAAGTGCACCTGAATGTAAGCCTACACAGGCCTGGAGCTTAAAACACTCCCTTGTCGTATCAATCTGCTGAACTGTGTGTGTGCTTGCTGTGTCAGGTCGAATCAGCGGGGGATTCATTTTGGACTGGGGTCTCTCCTGGAACAAAAACAGTGACAGACATGCAATCAGAGCACAGAAAAACTGCAAAAAAGCAAAGAAAATTCATTGATTATACTTGCTTTACATCACAAGCTTAAAGGATCTCTGTGATGTTCATACAGCACTGTGCAAAAGTCAGAGACCACCTTTTATTTATTTGATTTCCAGTCAAAACGGCCATTAAAAGGAAAAGAGAAGTCAAAGGAAAAAGCAGATGTTTCCAAAAGTTTCCAAAGCTGGAGTTCAAAAAATAAAAGATACAAATAATAAAACATACAGAGAAAATGGGGCTCTAAACAACCACCAGAACTGTCCCCTTCAGATACACAGTACTTAAAACCAACTTCTAAGACTAAACCTTGGAGTTGTGGAAAAATCTCAGATTTCCTTTGTAAAACTGAAAGCAAGTCCTGTGAAAAGAATGAAATCTGTAATACAGGTAAAGAGTTGAGGCTTTTGTGTGATTTTCTGTTAAATATATAAAATCTGCTTTTTTCCTGACACTGAGAAATGAATAAGTTGTACCTGATGGCCGTTTTGACTGAAATAAATTAAATCAAGGATGGTCTCCAACTTTTGCACAGAACTGTCCATGTTTTAAAGGTGGAACTGGTTTTTAGTTCTGCATGGCTCTGCTTTGATCACGAAAAAGGATGATATGAAGGAGAGTTATTTTTACTCAGGCTGTTTTTTTATACCATAACATATACTGACTGGCCACATTAGTAAGGGGAATTCTACTATTTTTTCAAACTTACTGAGTATGTTTACATGCATTTAATAATCCGATAACTGCAGAAAATCAGATTTTGTCGGTAATGTGATCAACGTGTTTACATGCTCTTGAGTAATCAGATAATGGGAAACTCCGGGTTTACATGAGTCGGGCGGTAATCAGATTTCTACTTTGCAATAAACCAACTCCCAAACTCCCAAACCAAACTCACAGAAGAAGACGTGACGTAAACGTTATGTAAAACTCGAACTTCATGCTGCGGTTTTTCAGTGCCTCTCCAAAAGTGTTTTGCTGCCATCTCGCAACATCCACCGTCTGTTCTCGTGCATGAGCAGACTGAGAAATCCAATAGAAATAGGAGTATGAGTTTACATGCACTGAGAAATCTGATTACTGAGCTAAAATCCAACTCTCTTTATCGGATTTCTTAATCAGATTTCTAGATCGGACTATAGCATTTACGTGACCATTTGAATAATCAGATAACTGCAGAATCCGTATACACACTCACTGTCTCCTTTTATCACAGTGGGGGTGATAAGAAGTCTGTGGCGTTTAATGCCTCTAAAAGCTCCCTCACAGAAACTTGCCACATGAAATAGTTAGAAACAGATGCCTGAGACAACGAGTGCGTTTACCTGCACTCAGTAATCCGATCATAATCGGATTTCTGCAATTATTTGATTATTCAAATGGTCATATAAACTCATACTCCGATTTCTTTCAGATTTCTCAGTCTGCGTATGTGTGAAAACAGACGGTGGTACCGGAAATAAGCCAGCAGCTTTGCTGCTAAATAAATAAACATGTTGATCGGATTGCTGACAAAATCTGATATTCTGCAGTTATCGGACTGCAAAAAATAAAACTGTGGACATTCCTCTTTATACAGGGGATAGGGAGAGTTACATAGCATTAACACACAGAGAGCGAGAGAGAGAGAGAGAGAGACAGATAGAGAGGGGGTGAGAAAGTCTAGAGGCTGTTTGAGATTAAAAATCACAAAATAAAAAGAAATGGCAAAAGAAAAAGAGGGAGGGATGGAGAAATAGGTAGAGACAGAGATAGTAATACAGAAAGAAAGAGTAGGATAAAGAGAGAGAGAGAGAGAGAGAGAGAGAGAGAGGGAGGGAGAGAGAGAGAGAAAGAGAGAGAGAGAGAGAGAGAAAGAGAGAGAAAGAGAGAGAGAGGGAGGGAGGGTGGGGGTTAATCCTTGCAGAGAAATCACAGAAAACAATTCACTCTTTCATGCCACACCAACTCTCCTTCTCCCCCCTCTGTCTCTCTCAGCGTCTCTCTCTCTCTCCATTCTTTTCCCTTTCCTTCTCTTTTAAAGGTGAACTCCTCCAATATTTTGAAATATCTTCATAATTAAATGGTTAGGATGTGAAGTCATTTAGAGTGGTTTGGTGTGAAATGCTCCATTCTATAGAAACTTACTGAGTCGGAATTGTTCACAGTGGTGGTGATAGGAACCAGATGTCTAAAGAGTTTAATGACGCTAAAAGAAATAAATGAAATAGGAATTTGCTGCCTTATGCCTGAGACATGGTTTTACTGATTTTGTTTTAGAAGCTTTTGGCCCAAAATGTATTTTTTTAAAAACTTTTATGGCAGAAGGGGCACATGCAAGTACTGAAAGGCAAAACAGCCCCTAAAAAAAGTATTTTTTTCAGATCTACCACTATTTTACCATTACCAACATAACATAGAAAAAGTCAAAGGATACGTGTAAATTCACTGGTGATTCTAGAAAGTAAACAATATTATATATTTATGTTGTGGACATCGAGACCCTTGGATCCTGTCACCACCACTGTAAAGAAATCTGAGTCTCTACAATGAACCATTTCACACCAAACCACTCTGAATGACTTTGATTGCACCTCTGATTTTTCAGTGGAATTCCCCTTTAAGTAGTAGCCCTTGATGTAATTAAACCAATAGGACACCCATGTCAAGCTGTACCCTTTTATATCCCTGAAAAGCTAAAGCAAGTAGGAGAAAGACATAGAAAGAGGACAACAAGGCCTTTTGTTTCATCTACCTTCAGTATGAATCCTAAAATATGGCATTCCCTTGATGTTTATGTGCTGGAATTAATCTGTTTTGCTTTGCCACTAGCTGTGTTCTGACCTAGTGTTAAAGAATGTCTTGTCCTTGTTGTTGTACGGATAAGAACATCTTTTCAAATATACTGTATGAAACGTAATCATTAGTCTGTTGGGTGCTGGCATTTAGAATGGTCATGTTTTGTGTGGACCTATATTCCAAAATGTTGGGACAGTAGGTGAAATGCAAATAAAAACATAAAGCAGTGGTTAGTGTATCCACTTTGACCTGCATTTACACAAAAGAAGGTCTAGGCCAAAAACAGCAAAACTTTCATGACATTCGATTCCTCAGACGGCACTGCGTTAAAAACCAGCATGTGATGGATATCACTGCATGGGCTAAGGAATACTTTGACAAATGGTTGTCAATAAACACTGCTTATCCACAAATGCAGCTTAAGAATGTACTATGCACGGTGGAAGCCATTTGTCAACAAAGTCCAGAAACATTGCTGACTTCTCTGGGCTCGAGCTCATCTGAAATGGACTGATCCACAGTGGAAGTGTGTATTGTGGTCTGACGAGTCAACCTTTCAGATTGTTTATGGAAATAATGGATGTTGTCTTCTCTGGACCAAACAACAAAAAGACAATCCAGATTGTTATCAGCATAAAGTTCAAAAGCCAGGGTCTGTTATGGTATTGGCGGTGTATTAATAGGTAACTTGTATATCTGTGAAAGCACTATTAATGCAGAAAGATATGTACACATTGTGGAGCAACATATCGCTGCTGTCTTAACAAAACCTCATACCTCCAAAATGATAACTTTACAAGGGAATGAAAAAATATACTTTTAATGTAAGTCAGTGGGACCTGACTTAGTGACTTAGTGACTCCTTTCCAAGTAATGTTGAGTCATTTCTATTGGTCATCATGAAACTGACATACAATGTCAGGGGCAACAAGCATTTTCAAATTATGTCAAAAACAGAAAAACGACAAAAATGGGAATGCAAAGTTTTGTTCCAACAGCAGCGATATGCTGCTTTTTAGACGCCATCTTTTTCAGGGATGTCCATGCTTATTTCAGCATGACAAAACCAAGAAACAGTACTGTACACTTCACTTTGTTGTAATAATTAGAAGTGCCAGTCACCTTGAAATGATTTGGAATTGAAATGATCCAGTGGCGGTGCTGTGATGAGGCCCAGTGCACCTAGGCCCAGTCATTACTACTCCAGACTCTTCTAGCTTATTCCCAGGATTAAAATATTATAATAAATTAAGCAAAACACAAATGAAAATGCACTCACTAAATATGTGGCATATGTAACGTTCTATTTTTGACAGTGATCAAATCAAAATGCCAGTTTGACCAGCAACTATATCTGTAAGTCTTTTGCTAAGCAATTTGCAACTAACTCAAATGACTGGGTATAAAAAGAGCATTTTAGAGAGGCAGATTCTCTCAGAAGCAAAGATAGGCAGAGGTTCACCAATCTGTGAAAAACTGAGTCTAAAAATTGTGGAACAATTTCAGAAAAATGTTCCTCAACATAAAATTGAGAAGACTTTGAATATCCCACCATCTGCAGTACATAATATCATCAAAAGATTCAGAGAATCCGGAGAAATGCCTGTATGCAAGGGACAAGACCAACGGTCAGAATTGGATGCTTGTAATCTTCAGGCCCTCAGGCAGCACTGCATTAAAAACAGGCTTGATTTTCGTACTGGAAATCACTGCATGGGCTCAGGAACACTTCCAGAAATCACTGTCTGTGAACACAGTTCACCGCGCAATCCACAAATGGAAGTTAAAGCTGTATTGTGAAAAGAAGAAGCCAGTTGTCAATACGATCCAGTTCAAAAGCCTGCATCTCTGGTGGTATGGGGTCGCATTAGTGCCTATGGCGTGGGCAGCTTACACATCTGGAAAGGCACTATCAATGCTGAACAGTGTATAAAGGTGTTAGAACAACATATGCTCCCATTCAGACAACGACTCTTTCAGGGAAGGCCTTGTTTTTTTCACCAAGACAATGCTAAACCACATATACTGCATCCATCACAACAGCATGGCTTCACAGAAGAAGAGTCCGGGTGCTGAACCGACCTGCCTGCAGTCCAGACCTTTCATCAACAGAAAACATTTGGCGCACCATGAAACGAAAAATTCAGCAAAGAAGACCCAGGATTGTTGAGCATCTAGAATCCTACGTCAGACAAGAATGGGACAACATTCCTCTCCTAAAACTCCAGCAATTGGTCTCCTCACTTCCCAGGTGTTTACAGACTGTTGATAAGAGAAGAGGGGATGCTATACAATGGTAGACACGGCCCTGTCCCAACTTTTTTGGGATGTGTTGCTGCCATCAAGTTCTAATGAGGTAATGTTTTTGATGAAATGGTAAAATGTCTCACTTTCAACATCTGATATGTGTTCTATGTTCTACTGTGAATAAAATATGGGTCTATGAGATTTGCAAATCATTGTGTTCTGTTTTTATTTATATATATATTTATATTTTACACATTGCCAACTTTTTTGGAATTGGGGTTGTAGTTTATCAAGTAGTTTATGAGCAGTGAGAGTATTTTGCAGATGAATGTGGAGAGGGCTGCTATGTGGATTTAAGTATCGGAAGCATATGAACACGGCTTGTTTTAAAGAAGTAGCCAGGCACACAATATAGGATTAGATAAAAACATTGACTACAGTTATCCAAATATGAACAGCTCATCAACACCAGAGACATAATTGCCTCTCATTACCAGGATATTAGAGTCATTAAGATCATTATTGCTGCGATGTGCAAAGCGAGAGATACAAGGTTTCCTATCATGAGCTCAGAGTATTATGTGTTCTGGTTGACTTGCAGGCTGTTTGAACAAAGCTTAGCAAATGTCTCAGCTACGGTTAGATTTTGCAGTATATATCCCCCTGCTTACAATGGTGCATCTGTGAACTGCTGAAATGCACTGGACTTAGCTGAACTGAAAGGAACTAAATGAATATGAATTGAATTCAGTTGTACTGACCACAGTGCCAAGCGTCAGCTAGAGTTTGAATTTTACTGAGTGGAATTCACATGATTTGAAATAATTTCATTTGAACTGAATTAAACTGAACTCAGCCTTACTAAACAAATTTCATGTGAACTTAACTAATCCAAGCTGAACTAGATTCATATGAACTGAAATATATTGAATGCAGTTCACATGAATTGAATTGAACTGAACTGATTTCAGTTGAACTGAATCCATATATATTGAACAGAGCCAAATTCGTATGGACTAAACTTAATTCAAATGAACTGAATTTAATAGAACTGAACTGAATTCATGCAAATTAAACTGAACGGAATGTATACGATTTGAACTGAATGTAACAAAACCAAATTCATATGAACTGAATCGAACTGAACTGAACTGTACTCCAACTAACTGAACTCGTATATGAACTGAACTGAACCAAATTGGACTGAATGAAATTCATCTGAATTGACCTGCACTGAAGTGAACTAAACGAACTGACTTAAAATGATTTAAACTGATTTGAATCAAACTGTTCTTGTGCTACTGACTTTAAGCTCTGTAAGTAAAACGTTTTACTAAGCCACACTGCACACAATCCATCATGCTCTTCATCTGTTACCTCTCATCAGCATCTCTACGGCCTTCCTGTCTGCTTTGATATAGAGGGCAGTCAAGAGGAAGAAGAGTCCTCCCAGAACGCCAACGAAGGGGCAGACGAGAACGCTGTACTCCAGACTGCGGAACCTCCAGTCAGGAGAGTCAGGCTTAAACTTACTCAGAGCATCGGAAATCTGAACACGACACATAGAAATGACATGGTCAGAATGCAGCTTATAGCCATGCATGTCTCTGAAGGGTAATTCCACAGATTTTGCAAAATTAAATAGTTGAGATATGGAGTAGTTCAGAGTGGTTTGATGTGAAATGGTGCTGAGAATGGTTGCAGAGAAGCTTACTGTCACAGACTGTCTGTACAGTGGTGGTGATAGGAACCAGAGGTCGCAAGATTAATAATGCAAATTTAGTCATTTTATTTAATGTACAAAATGACCAGTGGATCTACACATCTCCCAAAGGTTTTATTTTGTAGCGTTGGCACTGCTTTTTATTGAAACAGCGGAGAGAGAAACTGATAAAAATGCTCTTTATTGAAACAGCGGCAAAGGGGAACTGCTACACAAACGGAATGGGGAAAGATGACCGACAGCAAAGGACCACACACAGACAGTGAGTCACTTCAAAAACCACCAGTTACTGAGAAGTGCATAATAAACCCAACACTAAACTTATACCATTTTGCTACTGTAATAAACATTATTAAACCATTTTATCCAAACTAAATAAGGGCTGCGGAGAGGCACAAGGAACTCTGGGAGTCCTCTACGTGCTTTTCCCCACTCTTCCAATTTGCCCAAACCTTAAGTCCAGTGGCAGCGCCACAATATGTAATGCTGATAATGATAAAATGGTGGTAAATTTTAAAAAAAATCATTTACTTTGGGGACTGTTTTGCCTTACAATGCCATTCATTTACCTCTCTGCTATGAACACTATTGTAAAACAATCTCAGACATCAGGCAACTTATTCGTGACCATGTCATGCAACAGTTTTCTATGATTTTAGAGGCACTTAACCCTTCAGACGTCTGGTTCCTATCACTGCCACAAACACTTCTGACTCTGCAAGTTTCTTTAGAGTGGAGCATTTCATATCAAACCACTCTGATGGACTTACATCTTACTGATTTAACTATGTAGAAATCAAAGAAGGAAAACTGACAGGAGAGAATTATTGTTGAAAGTGCTGATTATAAACAATATGTACACATTTTCAGTAAACATTTGAGTCGTATGCTTACAGCGCCAAGGAGATACGGACTTCCTGCATCACCCAGGAGATGACACACCATAATTTGCAAGGCCTCAGCTGTTGCCCTTCTTGTTGGTACAACAACATACTGAAACAAAAAATGCATATACTGAGTTTAAGGCATTTCCAGGATAATGCCAATCAACCTATAAGCTATCAGGCGCCAAAATGTTCAAGTTCTTACCAGTAGGATGTCAGCAAGAATGGCCCAGTTTAGTGAAAGCAGAGTCTCTCCAATACCAATGCATGCCTAGATGATGAAACAAGCGAAGGAATGGAAATGAGTGCTTAGACTTTTCGATATAGCAAAATCAAAAGCATTTATGGCTATTTAAGAACCTACATAGTCCAATTCTCTGTGTATTGCTTCTGAAAAAGCAAGTGCAGCTTCAGCACATCCCAAAGAAGTAAAGCTACTTTACAGGGAGGATAGAGACTGGAACGTACGTATGTGCCTGGAATGCTGGTGGCCGCCAGAACAATGGCGATGAACAAGCAAGGTGAAGAGCTGAGCATGCCCACAGCGCAGATGAGCGGGTCAGCGTTGGCCACTCTGTTTCTGAGCTTCCTGGATATATAGCTGCCGATGAGAACCCCCACGATGCCCGTTCCCACTGTGATCGCCCCAAAAATGTAACTGTGGCAGGAGAAAGAGAGAGAAATAGCACACCAAAGACACTTTAAAGACCCAGTTCCAAACAATGTAAAACTCTTTTTTAAAAATACTTTATTGTCAGTAAGACACAGTATATGGTTACTATTAAGCGCAGTCAAATCCAATCCCAAAGAACTATATATGTATATTTGTATACATGTATATGCATGTTCATATATATGTCATTTACAGTGGTTTGGTGTGAAATGCATCGTTCTAGATAAACTTTCAGAGTCAGAACTGTTCACAGTGGTGGTGATAGGAACCAGACATCCACCTCCCTCATAGCAAGTTATTAAATGTGCTGCCTGATGTCTGATACATTGTTTTATGATAGTTTTCTGATAACATGTACTTTATTCAATGTATTCCAGTCATGGTGGAGGGACACATGCTGGATGTTCTAAGGCAAAGTAGTGCCTAAAGAATTTTTTCTGATCGTCCACTATTTTACCATCATCAACATTACATATAAAACTCAGAAGGCACATGTAGGTTCACTGGTGGTTTTAAATAGTGAATAAAATTGGCAATATTTGTTGTAGACATTGAGACCTCTGGTTCTTATCACCACCATTGTAAAGAAATCTGAAAGACTGTGTCTGTATGTTTCCCTACAAATGTATTATTTCTCATCAGATCCCTCTGAATGACTGTGTTTACATCTTATCCACTGAATTATGGAGAAATGTTGAAAAAAATCTGTGGATTCCCCTTTGAGACATGACTTAAAGCAGCATTATGTAATGGTTTTAACTGAAAGCAGTATTCAGCAAATATTGGTATTGTTTGCTCTTTGGCTCCCCCTACAGTGTATTTCACTTTTACACCACTGTCGTAAATACAAATCACTCTGTAAGCCCCCCTCATGTACACATGCATTTGTTGACGAGCTGAAGGATACACACTTAAAAATTATGGTTCTTCAAGGGTTGTTTAGTAAAGAAAATGGCTCTGTATAGAAGCATGAACACTCAAGGAACCCTTTGCATGATTAAAGGGTTCTTTGCATCGTGAAAGGGTTCTTCAGATTGATGGAGAATGTGCTGTCACCCTTTTTGAAAAGGGTTCAATATAGCACTAAAAAGGGTTCTTCTATTGTTATGATGTCAGGCTTGTTACAATAGAAGGCTCTATATAGAACCATCTACAACACATTCTCTATCAATCTAAAGAACCCTTTCATGATTCAAAGAACGCTTTAATCATGCAAAGGGTTCGTTGAGTGTTCATGCTTCTATATAGAACTAAAGAACCTTGGAAGAACCATCATTTTAAGTGTGTACAGATTCCGATTCCGCTTCGCGTGCACACACATCACGCTGGGATATGGAAGCTTCAGATTTCCACCGTGATTTCTGTGTTTCTATGCGAACACAACTGTAATCAGGAATGTAATCTGTTGTGTCCATATGCCTGCATGATGTGTGTACACGCCAGATGGAATCAGAATTCACAATTTCACATAATGCAGCTTTAACATGGCATGTCACTGTTGGCTATATTAAGTATTTCAATAAAAATATTTATTGCTATTGCTTGTAAATGGCTTTGTTCACCAATTTTGGGACTTTGAAAGGCAGTTCTGCTGCTGAAGCTGACCCTTGTGTTAACTCTAATAAGATAGCTAATGAGCTAATAAAGTAATGGAACAGCTCCTAAGATGGTGACAGGGATTCTCCTAAGGGCAAATGGCAAGGCCAAGTTAATGAGGGTATATTAAAATAAGTAATGAAGCAGGTGGTTTGTGACTTCATCAATGACACTCAAATGAAATGTACCAGTGCTGTGTAAAGATAGAGAGGCACAGGTCAATCCTGTGTGTACCTGTCAGAAGGGTCACAGGGTTCTTTAGAGCAGGCAGGAGTGAGGCCCTGTAGGACACGTGCACGGGAAAGGAAGGTAGGGTGTCCAAAAGGCCAATGCCCCTGTGACGAAAGCCATGGCGGTCACTCCTAAAGAAGACCAGACGAAGCTTCGGCTAGAAGAAAACATGTATAAACACATACACACTAACTTAAAACTGTTTCACAGATGGAAATGTTCATAAAATTTACAGTTCACATTTTTGTAGAGTGGGCACAGCGGACCTTATTCATCAAAGTAGTCTGTGGTCAAATCTGAGCACAAAATGAGTTTTGTTATTCATCACTTTTATCTGTGGCATATCTTACAACCAAGTTCACATCTGGTAGGAGTGTGTAAATCTGAGTGTAACAGTTTTTCATCCTGAAAAAATTTGTGGTTAACTAAGCAAAAATATTATCAATGTCATCTATTTTACCAATAGAGACCAATAGAGTGATGAGAAAAAAAAAAACATTACTAATAATTTGTGTACATGGCGATCATTTTGTTTACTTCATAAATTTTATTCTTTCCATGAGTCCCTACCGAAATATCTGCATGAATTAGGGCAGTCTTAATGTAAATGATATGCAAATGAGGCCCCAATTAGGCGCTTGATTTCATGCACTGCGGCTGATTCATCATTTGTGCTCAAATCTCTACTTGTTTCCACGGCATATGAAACGGTCATGAGACGCAGAGTAGTTTGTATGTCATTGAAGGTGGTCAAATCTTTTTTTTAAAAAAAAAAAGCTACTTTGATGAATAAGGGTCAGTATGTTTGACGCTCTTTAAGTTCAAAATCCAGAGGTAACGTTTCAGCCAGAAATCCAATTAAAATGTAGATCAGTCAAGACATGTCTGGTGTCTAAAGTTTGCTTTTTAGTTTTGCCCTGAACTGCATGTCTATCATCATACACTCGCCTCAGATGCTCAATGCTGAGTGGTTGCATAATCTCAAAAAGACAGAATGGTTTCTGATACTCCATACTATACAATTATCTACAACCCCTCTTTCAAAAATGTTGTAACGCTGTGCAAAGTGTAAATAAATACAGAATGCATTGATGTGCAAATCATTTAAACCCTGCATTTAATTGAAAATGGTACACAGTCAACATATCAAATGTTGAAAGTGAGAAATTTTATCGTTTTTTGAAAAAATATATGCCCAATTTGAATTTGATGTCAGCAACACATTTCAAAGAAGTTGGGACTGGTGCAACAAAAGACTGGTAGGGTAATGCTAAAAAACACCGGGTGGAACATCTCACAACTAATTAGGATAACTAGCAACATGTCAGTAACATCGGTCTTACAGAAGTATGGATGGGGAGGGGATCAACACTCTGAAAGACTGCACAGGCAAAAATGGACTGATTTAAAATGGACTAAGGCAAAGTGGAAAAGTGTCCTGTGGTCAGACAAATCAAAATTTGAAATTCTTGTGGAAATCATGGACACCGTATCCTCTGGGCTAAAGAGGAGAGGGACCATCTGGCTTGTTATCAGCACACAGTTCAAGAGCCAGCATCCATGATGGGATAGGGGTGCATTAATGCACATGCCATGAGTGACTTGCACATCTGTGAAAGCTGAATGATATATACAAGTTTTGGAGCAACACATGCTGCCATCCAGATGACGTCTTTTTCAGGGAAGGCCTTGATTATTTCAGCAAGACAGCAGCAAATCATATTCTGCACGTATTACAAGCTTCATAATAAAAGAGTCCGGGTGCTAAACTGGCCTGCCTGAAGTCCAGACCTGTCACCCACTTAAAACAATTGGAGCGTTGTGAAATGAAAAATACGACAAAGGAGACCCTGAACTGTTGAGCAGCTGAAATCCTGCATCAAGTGAGAAAGGGAAAACATTTCAGTTTCAAAATAACAGCAATTGGTCTCCTCAGTTCCCAAACGTTACAGAGTGTTGTTAAAAGATGAAGTGTTATAACACAGAGGTAAACATGGCCCCTGTCCCAACTTTTTTGAAACACGTTGCTGGCATCTAATTCAAATGAGCATATATATTTCAAAACCCAATAACAAAATTCTCAGTTTCAACATTTGATATGTGGTCTTTGTAGTATTTTCAATCAAATCTAGAGTTTAACTGATTTGCACCTCATTGTATTCTGTTTTTATTTACATTTTGCATGCCATCCCAACTTTTTTGGAAACAGGGTTGTATAACAAGTACACACAGTGTCACTAATGTGAAGCACTAGTAGCTATTTTAGTGCTAATGTTGCCCTCTTGTGGAGAATCATCAGCCTGCTAAATGTGAATGAGTGAGTGAGTGAGTTATAAGCCAGGCCTGTGACTAAAAACGGACAAAACTACATTGCATAGCTGAAAACAAATTGTAGTAACAATTAAAGCCAGAATTTCTTTATACTTTTGTCCACATTGTGCTAGGGTAAATTGTGCAAGTCTAGTTGAACCATCACTGTAATTTTACCCACTTTCTGAGGAGATACTTGACATCCTCCCAGTAAGTTGTGCTTTCAATGCATGTTGTCCCTTGGTTTTCAGATGCTCCTCGAGGTGGGTTGGGGATCAGGAACACCAGCAGCACCAGGCCTGGTCCACCCAGGATGGGGTTGAGCTGTAGTAGAACAAGCACTATAGGTAACTATTGTGTCCAGCTTTAGTTTACATCAGGGGTGCTCAACCTTGCTCCTAGTGGTCTATCGCCCTGCATAGTTTAGTTCCAAAACATTTTTAATTTAGCTAATAAATGCCTTTAGAGCATCTGAATATTAGAGTCCAAACTCAGGTCTTGGCAGACAATAGTCTTAATGGCTTAGTCATTCTTAAGGTTAAAGATAAAATGCGCTACCACAGATGGTTTTTGAGCTAGCTGAGCATTTTTTCTCTATGATATTTGGGGGTGGTTGGAGGGAGGAGGTGAAACAAGATATTATTGGTTAATATTATTTTTCCTCACCTGCTGGTGCATAATAACTTAAAGGACCCCATCTTACATTTTTCTTGTGTTTTATTGTTTTCCATGAGATCCACTTGTGACATTTGTGTGGGTCATAATTCATTTCTCCATGGCCATTTTCAAACCTCTCTTTATCTCTTAGAATTAAACTGTTTTTTTTTAATACTGTGCCTTTAAGACTGATACATTTTCGCTGTGCAAAGATAAACAAGTGTCTCCAAAATGGTAACTTTACAAGAGAAGGCAAAAACATTCTTTTTTTGTAACATGTAAATGTAAAGAGATTTTGTTCCAAGCAAGTTTGGAGCATTTCTGATGGTCCATTCATCATGTGATTTTCACACAATCAGAAGGGCAGCCTGTGTGTTCAAATGTGGTAGAAAAAAAGGAGATAAAAAAAGCAGCGACAATACGCAAACGACTGCTTCCTGACTGGCTGCCCAATAATGTGCCTCAGGTCAATAGCAGTCTGGGCTGAAACACTCCTAATAACTTCAGAGTATGTGGGTGGATCTAAACTGCTGTAGGTTAAATAGGTGGATGCATGTAAATGGCTTGGTTTTTGTTACATCACAAAAGCCAAAAATCCAAAACAGTCTGCTACTGCAGCTTAATTTTCATAAATGGACTTTATGGACTGAGGAGTGAACAGTATTTCATCACTTTAACGATGTTTATATACTATATTAAACTCTTTTAGAGAGAAGTGAGCAGCTCAGTTTACACTTTAATCAAACATCATAAGACATTTTTAAATACATTTTTGATGGAGGATTATGTGTCTTTTCTTACTGTGTTTTAAATGAGATGATACTGTGACCCTTTTCACAGCATGATTACAAACGAGTGGACATTTTCCACATTTGACTAATGAAGTCCAGGCTGGTTTAAAGGCATTAAGCTGAATCAGACCCAGTACAAAGCTGGACTGTTTAACATGGTCAGCACAATCAAACATTTAATTAGCATATCCATTCATCTGTGTCCTGACTTCCCAAGGTTTAAAAGAAGAGTCTTACCCTGAGGGCCCAACGCCAGTCCCCTGTAGCACTTGCAATTTTGGCTGCCAGGATGTAGCCAAGACCACTTTGATATGGAGGGAAATTGAAACAAAATACAAAAATGATTATTGTTATAACAGGATAATTAAAACTGACCCACAAGAAAGTGCAATATACAGCATCCATCCATCCATCCATCCATCATCTAAACCGCTTATCCTTCTGGGTTGCGGTGGGGTGCTGGAGCCTATCCCAGCTGTCATTGGGCGGAAGGCAGGATACACCCTGGACAGGTCGCCAGTCCATCACAGGGCAGACAGACAGACATACACATTCACACACACACTCACACCTAGGGGCAATCTAGCATGTCCAATCCGCCTGTCTGCATGTTTTTTTGGACAGTGGGAGGAAACCGGAGTACCCGGAGGAAACCCACGCAGACACGGGGAGAACAGGCAAACTCCACACAGAAATAACCCTGGTCACCCGGCCGGGAATTGAACCCAGTCCATTCTTGCTGTGAGGCGACAGCGCTACCCACTGCGCCACCGTGCCGCCCCAATATACAGCATGAACATCTTAAAAAAACAGGTTTTTCATGGATTCTTTTGCAAAGGCAGTGGTTTCAGATAGAACCATGACAACTCAAAGAAGCATATGAATGCTTAAAGATGCACTACAGCCAAAATAAAAATTGTAACCATTGCTTTATCTGTTGTAAGCATTTCTGCTTGCCTACTAAAACTACTTAAACCCCCTTCTGATGATGTATCTTGAAGGTGGGAGGCACTTTTACAAAGATATAACTTTACAAAGACATAACTGCTTTAGGGTGGACACTTGAGGTGTGGGCTGTAAGAAACTAGCTAGCTAATGCAGAAGGAAGCCAGATAGCTAATCTTACTGGCAGGAAACCAAATAACACTTCTATATTTATAACCCTCTACATCAGTGGCTATGATAGCAATGAGGATCTCTTTATCTCAGTGTGGGGATGCATGCTGGGCACTGTTGTGAGAGAACTTTGATGGAGGAAAACACAAAAAAGGATACAAATGAATGAATTCTCTTCAAATCTATGAGGATGAAGGATGTAAAGCCACCCTTCAGAATATTAGAATAATACACACCATGACAAATAACACATTAAACGCTAGTTTTAGGCCAAAAAGCCTCTTTTAATGGTTCGTTACATGTTCAAATGGTTCTTCATCAGAAATATATGGATATTTCTTTCCCTCATTTACCTTCCCACGGGGATAAAGATGTAGAAGAAGGAGATCATGAGTGTTCTTTTGGTGCCCGTGAACAGGTCTCCAATGATAGTAGGAGCAATGGTGACGTAACTGGCCTCTCCAGTCCCAACCAACGCTCGCAACAGGACCAGCACCCAGAAGTACTAAAAACCAGAAAGACATGTGTGATAGATTAATGTTACCAACACAGCAAATAAGTGTGTCCACTATTTGCCTTCATTGCACCTTCCATTCTTTTCAGGAGACTCGCTTTCAGTTATTCAAAGAAATCTGCAGAGATATTTTTCCACACCTGCAAAGTTCAGTCTTAGAAGTTGGTTGCATTTTCTACTTCTCACCAAGTAATCCCAAACACATTTAGTGATCTTAAGGTCTGGACTCTGTGGTGGTCAGTCCATTGTTCTGAGAACACCAGCAGCTTCTTTGATTTGCAAATTCTCGTCTTTTTAGTCTATTTCTTTTTCAGTAACAGCTTCTTGAGAGCTACACATCCTTTCAGTCCCATAGCTTTGAGAAGTCTGAAAGGATGTGAAGCTGTCAAGAAGCCATTACTGAAAAAAGGAAACAGACAAAAAAGAAGATGCGCTAGAACACCAAAACTGGACATCTGGTGGATGTGGAGTCTAAATTTGTACTTGGATTGTGAGAAGCAATAAATGCAACCAACTTCTAAGACTGAACTTTGGAGGTGTCAAAAAACATCCCTACAGATTTCTTTAAAAACTGAAAGCAAGTGCCCTGAAAAAGACGGAAGCTATAATAAAGGTAAAGAGTGGATTCTAAATGCTGAAAAATCTGATATTACATTCAGCTATTGAGGCTTCTCTGTAATTATAACCTTTTCCCACACTGAAAAATAACTAACTGTTTTGTTATGGAAATGTTTTGAGTGGAAGTTTAAGAAATGAAAGGTGGTCTCTGCACTATGTGATGTATTGAACAATACAATCAACAATTGCTTTATATTATTGAAAATTGTGATTCCAGATTTTTGAATAGTAGTGTATATAAAATAGCTACAATTATTAATATAACAAATGATTCCAAACTATTGGACACTATTACTGTATCATTTCACCTTTTGTTATGTGCAAAAGTTTGGGGACTCTCCTGGTCAAATGCATGTTTTTTTGGTTTTCTGCACATTTACTGTTTATTTGGTGAATTTAACATACCATGGAAAAATACAACATGAAATGTAGCCTGTGCAAAATTTAGGACTGTTTACTTTCAAATAAATGAAATTGTACAGTAAAAGGCCGAATTTATATTAAAGTGTGCTCTCTGTAGAGGATGTGTTGTTTTCACTTAGCCCAGGGGTTGTACAAACTTTTACACATGATGGTAAATCTCAGGAAGCGGGTTTAAACAACAGTTCCACAACATGAGTGCTTGCTGAAATACTAGAAATTCAGCCAGAATAGAGTTGCACTACCGTTTCTGTGACGAAAGAGCTGCACAGTGTTGTGACAATCCACGCAATCATCCCAAACACCATGATCAGCTTCCTGTTGTAGCGGTCACCAAGGTAGCCGAAGACTGGTGCCAGCAGCATGAAACTGCAGATGAAAACTGTAAAAGCATGAATGTTTCACAGCAGAACGTCAGCGGCTGATTATGTCTATTAAATAATTCACTTTGTCTTTCAAACTGTGGGGCTGCAGCCTAGACGCAGCTCTTATCACACATCAGGCGACACAGTTTCAGGCTGACTGATTGTAAAACTAGCTCTGGGTTGGATTATCTGAAGAGACAACCCATTTCAGGTTTGACATCGAGCCAGGCACATGCAACATCTAGCCTACGTGAGAGCATTATCTGAAAGTAGTTCCTTATTGTATCTATCAAAGCAACATAATTACATATCGTGATTCAGCTGTGGTGCTAGAGGAGGTCAATGAATGCTAAGATAATCCGTCAATTAGCTTCATATTAGCATGAGACTGTAAAAGCTACCAGCACAATGCTAAGCAGTTCAGCAGAACCTTGCATAAAACAGACTTTACTCAGAAAAATGCTGTCTTTGTTGAGGCTTAATAGATAACAAGTGTGTTGGTAGAGAGATATATGTCGACCTTGCACCACTGTAAACTGTGAACTTTTCATGAGTCAACAGGAAGTTGTGTTATAGAGTTAAAGATAACAATCTTAGCTTCCTTTTTTGTTGATATTCTTGATAAGCAATCAACACACAGTCCCACATACTATTACATTCACAGACAGAAGTTGAAATTGCATCACACCTTCAGTAAGGACTCTCTATGAATTCACTAAAGTGGTCGTGTAGTGGTACAGCTAACTAGCATAGCTTTCTATGTGTCACAATGACAAACCTACATTCAGTGCCATGTACTGTATATACAATTCACAGATGCACAGAAACTAGCTTTAAATTCATTACCATGTTAGTGGCTGTGGTCATTAAAGAGACATTTTTGCATAATTAAAGGCCAAAAAAGTCACTCAGAGTCGTGTGATGTGAAACGCTGCATTGTAGAAAGACATATCAACTCAAATTTTGAGTTGGGAACCAGGAGTCATGATGTGTACAATGCAAATGTAGTGAATCTAAACATGTCTTCTGAGTTTTTAGATGTAATGTTGATAAATTTAAAACAAAAGAAAATCTGACCTATGTATATTTTCTTTAGGGACTATTACCCTAAAGAAATACCACCCTGCGTGTAAATAAATACACTTTAGGCCAAAACTTTATTGCAAAACTCTCCGGCATCTGGCAACATATTTGGAAATATTTAATGTAGCAACTTTCTGTGAAGTAAATCTATTAAAGGGCCCATATCCTTCATTTTTTTTTCTACCTGATCGTTTTCCAACCACTCTTTATCCCTTAGAATGAAGTAGGTTTTTGTTAGTGCGCCTTTAAAACAGATACATGAGCTCTGTTCTGATTGGACGCCCTGTGATGTGCCTTGTTCAAAAAGCAAGGAGGACAGAAACACTCCTTATAACTTAAGAATGAATGGGTGGAGCTAAACAGATGTAGGCTGATGTGTAAATGTGTTGGTTTTTGTGACATCATGAAAATAAAGAATTGAAACAAAATGAAAATGTGAAATAGTTTCCACATGTGGAATGTAGGAAACATAAGAATGTTTACATACTACTTCAAACTATTTCATTTCCAAAAACAAGCAAGGAATTTTTGATTTTCCATGATATGGGCCCTTTAAAAGCTTTAGATGTCTGGCTCCTGTCAGCACCACTGTAACTCAGTAGGTTCTTCTTCAATAGCGCGTTTCACATTAAATGCATTGTTTCCAACTCTATTATTTAACTATGCAGAAATGTTGACATTTCCTTTAAAGTTAGTTACTGTTTGGCTTTTCAAGCAGCAGAACTCAGCATGCTAGCTGGTCTTGAGTGGTGCTTTGAAGCTGATACCTGTCTGTAGTAGACCAGATGTGCTGTCACTGATGACAAAGTATTTCTGGATGCTGGGCAGAACTCCTACAATACAGACAGAACAAATGCATTTGACCTTAAAACAAGGAATGAGAGATTTCAGGAACTCTGGTTTGCCATAACTTCCTCTACTGTTTGAGGGTGGTTGGTCTACTCACCTGCGATTGTGTAGCGGTCCATATAGTTGAGCAGATTCACATAACAGAGCACAGCCACAGCTATATAGGCCCGTTTAGGGGCGATGACGTCGCTTTCTGCAGAGGATAAGATGTTGTCTTCAGGCTCGCTGGCTATGGAGCCATAGCGGTAGCTCCCGCTCATGCATGAGCTCAAATTCAGCTTCTCTTTAGGCTGGGTTGGCCCGTTCGAGGTCTCTTTCTCCATGGTTACCAATGGTCCTAGAGGAAAGAAGTTTACAAAGCTTTAGCCCAGTGGATTTGTAGTTTAACTACAGTAACAGTAGACCAGGGCTGACCAGGTGCAGTCTGGGGAGTCGTAGTCCAGCACAGTTAGGTGATTTTTTCATTCAAACACACCTGATTCAACTCAATATATACTATGGTATATCATCATGATGACTTACTATGTCATAATTATGACCTAGTGTCTCATAATAATAGAATTTTCTCAAGTTATAGAAAATAACTCATAATAACTCATATGACATAGTATCTCAAAATTAAGATTTGCTAACTCATAATTCTGACTTACTATCTCATCATAATGACTTACTATGTCATAATTATGACATACCATCTCATAATTATGATTTAGTGTCCAATAATAATGATAAGATTTCATATTTATAGAAAGTAAGTCACAATTATGAGATGCTATGTCATAATTATGACATAAGTCATTATAATGAGATAATAAGTCATAATCATGAGATGCTGTCATAATTATGCAATAGTCATAATTGTGAGATTGAGATAGTGATTTTTTCCAGTATTTTTTTCTTCCTTGGTTTTTAATCAGCTACAGAGGAATCCATGCGCTTTCCTGGGAACCGGTGTCATGTGACACCATTGCTTGTCATTTTAGCATTTTCCCTGGAGCTCGATCCACAGAATCTGACAAAACTGGTTATCATGAAGATCTTTTTTTTTTTCAGAATGTTAGAGTGGGCAGGATTGAATCCAATGTGCCTCCGTTGAAAAACACATACTGCAAAATTACAGTACATTTCCACCTACTAATGCTAATTTCATATTCATTTAGTGTACCTTACAGTAATAACAGTAAAGAGGCAACTGAACCACAAATATACTGTGATGTTGATGTATTCTCCTGTATTTTTACACAACAACTGTAAAGGCACTCAGCAACTCAGCACTGTTCAATCTCTCACTCTGCATTTTGCCATTACTGTGCTAAATTAAAGCCACATTGGGACCACAGAAATTTACACAGAGAAAGGCAGCCAGTCTATTAGATAAGAAATACTATACTCTTTACAATGATGGCTCTTCAAGGGTTCTTTAGTAAAGAAAATGGTTCTATATAGAACCATGAACACTCAAAACACCCTTTTGAAATGCTTCATCAGATTGATGGAGAGCGTGTTGTATTTGACTCTATATAGAACCTTTTTGAAAAGGATTCTATATAGCACCAACAAGTGTTCTTCTATCATTACAAGCTTGACATTGTAACAATAGCAGAACCTTTGTTGGCGCTATATAGAACCCTTTTTAAAAATGTTCTATATAGAACCATCTACTCTGCAACCTGCAATCTGAAGAACCCGTTCACGATGCAAAAAACCCGTTAATCATGCAAAGGGTTCTTTGAGTTTTCATGGTTCAATATAAAACCTTTTTTTTTTCTAAAAAACCCTTGAATAACCATTTATTTTTAAGTGTGTACCTGTGTGTTATCTCAGCTAATGTTACCCTACATTCTAGTCTTTTTTATTCACCTCTTATCTTTTAGAAAAGAGTGAGTTTGTGAAGAGGCAGTAAACTGATTGCAAATGTGATAAATGATGTTGAAAGGTCTGGGTCTTTTTGGGGGGCTTTTTCAGGGGTAAGGGGGAGTTTAGCTGAAAAAATGACAGTTTTGTCATGTTGTTCGCAGTGTATTTCTTCCTAAAGAGTGGTAGGGCGTTTGAGCACTTTTAGATGACCACCTTAAGCAAAATGCTTCAGTAAAAAGTGGCTCATTTGACAGCTTAGTATTTTTAAATGGAAAAAATGGATATCAGTATTAGCCATTACTCAAGGTACCGAGAAAGAAATAAAAAGTGCTGTTATGCTAGAATTACATCTATATTAAAACAGGCTAATCTTGTTTGCTTGAGCACGTCGCAAACACAGCCATGTACTAAACAAGAACTCAAACCCTTTCCTCTTCTGCCTTGCAAATGACTGTAACCAAAGCAAGGACATTCTTTACATGTAATAACAAAGGAGACAAAGGAATTGGATACCTGTATGAATGTTATGTAACCTGATGCAGTGGCATTGTAGTACATGCTAATACAATAACTTAAGCAAGGCCATCACATTATTTATGGCCTAAGAAGAGCCTTGAAGAGCATTACGTACCAGCTGTTACACCAGAAATACTGTAATAGCAAATTCAATCTCTCTGCAAATCTCATTATGCAACAACAAGAGAATTACAGAAAATGATGCATGACCAAGTGGGTAGACCTTACAGCATGATCCAGTCGTCATCTGACGAATAAAACCCCCACCTCCCCAAAAGGCAGCAGAACCCTACTGAGTTCTCAAAGGGGAATTCCACCTATTGAGAAACATAGTCAGAATTGTTGACAATAGTGATGATAGGAACCAGACTTGGGACACATTTACAAATACGCTTGATGCCTAAGATATTGTTTTACGATAGCTATGAGATAATAGCTGTAGTATATCAAAATATGTTTTCTCATTGACTGAGGGGGTGAGTTTGGGGTGATTTCCTGGCAAGCCAAATCAAACGTCCTCACAGGCCCTGATCTAAAACATATTTTTTTAAATCTATTCATGGCAGAGAGGCACATATAATGTGCTGTAAGGCGAAATAGTCCCTAAACAAAACATAGTTTTTTAGATTTCTGACTATTTTACCATCATCAACATTCCATGTAAAAGCTTAGGACATATATGTAGCTTCACTGGTCATTTTTAGATAAATAAAATGATGATATCTGACTTTTAGTTCCTATCACCACAGTTGTTGGATGTCAGGTTTCTCTACAATACACCAGTTCACAAAAGTTTGAACACAACTGGGCAAAATACATGCTCTGTTGAGTTTCTAAGCTAAAAGAAGTCAACATGACTCCACAGGGAACTTAAAAATGTCACTTTTCTGCAATTTTATTGGAAAATTTCTAATAATTTGCTGAGTTTAAGATATTGGGGAGAAAAAAAACTTTCAAAATTCCAGGTGTATTACATTCTAAGGCCTTATATTCGGTAACTACATGGACCACAATATGCGTATATGTTTATATATATATATGTGCATATATATATATATATATATATATATATATATATATATAAATATATAAAAAATAGGTGCAATTCCCCTTTTCTAGTGCAATGCAGAGGAGTTTGTGAAAAATAAGACATGTTGAAACTATCTAGCACCTATTGCCTCAGGCGCTTCACAACGTGACACTGGTGAAATGAACAGTCATAAAAAAACACTGCCATGCTGTTTGTCTTCTAAACATTTAACTAGAAACAGGTCAGAGTTGCTCTGCTGATACGGCTGCTGGCAGACTTCGCACCAGTGAGATTCTTTGCGAATCTGGATGCATTCCTCATCCTGAGTGCCAATGAGAAGTGGCAACAATGCCACAGTTGTACACGCTGTGTTTTCCCACAACATCACACAATACCATGCGACTACTTCGCTCCAGCTCAGCAAAGAACACAAGAGGTCTTTGAGACATGGAGATGGTCATGGGTGTTCAAGTGAAATTGTGAGTTAATTCTCAGATCATATTGGTGAATAAAATGTTACTATTTTACAATACATTCCAATTAAATGTGTTTTACCAAAGTGGGCACTGAACTCAGATAGTAGAAGAAAACTCAGATAGTGATGCATCATACACGGGTACCTTCAAAGGCTGGTCATACAGTGGCTCACTCTGGGCTGGATGTGGTGCTGGATTCTTCTTAATTCAGTCCATTGTTTGTTCCCACAGCCTCTTCCTCTGGATCTCCTCTGCTGTTCTGATGGCTGGTAGCTGTGGCCGTGATTGGCCTGCGCTGATAAACTGAGGGAGATGTGTCTGTAACTTCAATAAAACTACCAGGTTATCAAGTGAGAACTGAGCCCTGCCCCCTCTCACTCAGTCCCTGGCTGGTCACACGCTTGCAAACAGTTCCTCCTTGTGACGCAATGTGCACCAGAAGCCAAATGCATTTTTTTTTTCGCCCCCTCCTCCTCTCAGCACATTCAGCGGGTAGGCCACCCAAGCCTTTCACACAGCTTTTGTATCTTTTCAACAAAGAAAAGAGGCCTATTCGGATCACAACATTCAACACAAAGGAATGGGAGCGTGAAGTATAACGTCTCATAAATGCTTGTCATTAACCATTTGCAGATCAAATTGAGTCCTGGATTTTGAAGCATTCTTAGTGGAGAATGGTTTTAGTCCAAGACTACATTTGCAGCATTTAGTAGATGCTCTTATCCAAAATGACTTACGATTTACATTTATGCAGGTAGGCAAAGGTGGTGTTAGGAGTCTTGTCCAAGGACTCTTAATGGTATAGCATAGGTTGCTTGCCCAGATAGGGAATCAAACGCTAGTCTACAGGATGGAAGGCAGAGGTGTTACCCACTACACTATGCCAGCTTACCCAGAGGTGTTACCCACTACTCTAAACTACAGTTATTCTGGACTGAGATGTCATACGCATAACCCTGGTCAAATAATGTGTTTTGTTGATTTTCAAAGTGAAAATAATTTAGCACCCCCTGTACAGGATTGCATTTTTTGGCTAAATTTATTGCATGATTTCTATTTGCTAGGTTTGACATAAAGAAAACATAAAATATTAAAGGTACCATAACTTTTGCACAGGCAGCATTCCATATTTTTTCCCCAATATGTTAAATTCAGCAAATATACCATAATTGTGCATTAAAAACAACATGTTCTCTGTAGAGGACGTGTACTTATTTTCACATTAATAAATCAACAAAATGTCATTTGACCAGGGGGGACAAAATGTTTGCACACAATTGTATATCTCTTATTTTTGCTTGCTAGTTCTGATGAGCTCTTTGCATTGCCAAATGGTGAAGGAAATCAAAACATTTCAGAGCTTGACAACCTTTCACCTCTAGGACAAGGGCCTCTATCGTGTAGAGTAAGCAAATTCCCACAAGGCCTTTCCCTATTTCTTCAAAAGACTTTGTGCTGTAATGTGAAGTGAAATTCGTACTGTTACCAAGACAAGTCATTGTGTAACAGAGAAATAAAACATTAAGGCAGTGCCTTAGAGGGGCATTCTGGCCTAGGACTAGCATTTAGTAGGTTCCATAGTGCATTAATAAATTCCATAGCCCATCATTTCTTCCTTCGCCCTCATCAGTGTGACAGAATTCATCATTTAATAACTTCTGTGCGTCCTCCATCAGTATTCTCTCACTACAATACCCGGCATGCACTATGCAAATGTAGGTCCTCCCACCTCAAAGATACATCATCAAATTGAGCTTTTTGTAGTCTTTGAGCTGGAAAAATTGACTCTAGAGGCTACCGCGGCACCACTGTAGGGTGTTTATAACAACCCTAGGTTGTTATAACCATAGGTTTTGTTTTTTTTTGGCCAGAATTTCCCTTTAAAATCCATGGGAACCCTGTACTCATTCACCATAAGGATTGTCTGAATTGAAACAAAAACAATCCATTTTCTTCACATTATCCTACATGTACTACATTGTTTTGATTTAAACTGGAAGTGGTCACTTCAACATGTTCCCAGAAACAGGCCAACATTGTGTCATATTGAAAGAAGTGGCTCTCTCTGCGTACAGATCGTTGTGAAATTTGCAGGGCAGGCGAGACCATCGCTATTGCTATTCTGTTCCTCTGTAAGTATTTTTGTTACTAGCTCCTTCTTCCCTGTTTTACTTCTAAGCTCTGATTTCGATTGCATTATGGTGGTTAAACTAACCAGAGACAAAGTTTCAAAGAGTGTGACATTAGTATTTTCCCAGCAGTCAGTATCATAATTTGAAAAAGGAACCATTCTTTGCCTGCTTAATTGTAAACTGTGATGTAGTTTAATTTTTGCAAATGAATCGAATTATTTGACTTTTGTTGGCTACATTACAATTCTGACCCCTAAACTGGTCTTTTAACTGTCAGATGCGGCTCATTCTACTGAACGAATTCAATGTCAAAGTTGAAAACACTGACTTTGCTATTAACTGATTTGGACTCAAGACCAAAATCTTTTTTTTTATTATTTTGAGTGAGTCTTAAATATGTTTATTTTATTAAAACAATTAATTGAACATTGTATTGCGTCACTAGAAATTTGATCTTTACACTACCAAAATATTCGGTTTCGGTAATAAAAATTTTAGCTAATTTTGAGCATTACTCCAAAACGCTAGCCTGTAAATGACTAGCAAACACAGTTTTAAACAGCTGTACACACATAAAATCATAATATTTTCATTAAAACTTCATTAACTGACTTGAACTTCAGACTAAAATCATTTTGTTTTGAGTGACCCTATACCTTAATTATGTTTATTCTAATAATATTCATTAACATTAACATTTATTAACATTCCACTTTGCCATAAACAAAATAATAACATTACAGAAACTTTGCCAAATATTTTGGTACTCCTAGCGAGCTCAAAAACAGAAGCCAGTACATGGCTAGCAAACACAGCTGAATAATTGTACACACACTCAAAATATTTTTCATCAAAACACAAAAAGCGCAGAAAATATGTGTTTCAGTAGTGACATTTATTAATGTTACACTGATTTTCACACTTTTGGACTCATTTACTTTGACACAATAGGCTCTAACTGATCACCATGTGACCATGAGGGACAGAGATGCAGTCTCACTTCCTGCTCCTAAATGCAAGGGTGTGGCTAAAATGAGGCTCCGCCCATAGACTAAAACTCTTTGTGTTTCAGTGGTGACATGAAAACATGGGGCAGCATTTTTTTGAATAAGGTTTTTTGATTTAAAATTTAAACTGATAATAAATCTAAATTTTTAAATCTTAAACTTTCCTTTAAAAGAAACCAAAAATGTATTTTTAAAAACTGTTGAAAAAAATCTAAAAACCAATTAAGTATTATTTTCAGGGTTAGGGAACAGTTTAAGTACCTTATAGAAAGTACCTTAGAAATGATCATTTTTGTGTATATTTAGCTCATTACTATCTCAAATAATGCCTTAGGTTTAAATAGATCATAAGATAGTTACAAGAATTATATAAGGTCTTTTTTTTTTACTGTGGGACTGCAGTTTGACCTAATTTGGTAGAATGGTCCATATGGGCACAGCTTTACCCACATACCAACACAGCCTCTAGCTTATTTGTACACATGTGAACAGCAAGGGCATAACATGAAAGCCTGGTGAAAGTGGAAAATTGGTCAAATTATTTTTGTTTCAGCTAAAACTTCCATAGACAGAAATCTTTCAGGGGAGGCTTGAATCAGAAGCCTCGTGTCCACCTAGTGGTGAAGCAGAGTAAACCCACCCTTCGTAATAATAAAACTGCAGATTCAGCATTATCCTCCACAAAGTCTAATTTACTTCTTTTAAAAAATAAATAAATTTACGACATTATTCTTAACGAACCGTTGAAATACCCGAAGACTAATATAAGTTCATACTGGTGCAGATACAAGCCTTGTGTTTAGTTTTTCTTGGTCAGATTTTTACATTATCACAACTCACTTGAGATATGTTGGTAATTGTAGTTTTTATCTTATCGCTACTTACCTGGGTCTTTTTTTCTTTTTTTTGAGGTCTGCCTTAATACAACTTAATTATGTTATTTTATTCACTGCATTGACAGCTTACTTTAATTATTTTGGTAACTCTACCCTTTAGTCTATCATAAGTAAATAATATCAGTATTTTTAATGACATTACTGGATATATTATAAAATATATTTATAAAATATTATTAATATTCCGTTATCTCGGGAAAATAACGTTTATTATGGCAACTCGAGAATACAAGTAATAATTAACTCCTTATCAAGTGAAGCAAAGTAAATAAAAATCGATGCATGTGCTTTGATTGCCCCCGTAATTTTGGTAATTGTAGTTTTTATCTTATCACAGCTTCCCACAGTAATTCTGGTAATTGTAGTCTTTCTTATCATAACTTCCTTTATATATATATATATATATATATATATATATATATATATATATATATATATATATATATATATATATATATACACACACACACTGATAACATCAGCTGAAGCATTCTTGAATCCTCTCGGTGGACTTGGTTCGCGCATGCGCCATCGCGTCGCCCACACAGCTCCCTGGCGCTCTCTTTCTGCTCTCCGTTCTCTTCCCGCACCGCGCCTGCGCACAACGGCTCAGAATGTTGAGCAGAACAGAGTAGAACGGAGACGGACGGACACGACGATATTTATTGACCGTGTTTTTTCTCCTCCTTAGTTTAGTAAAGCACCCGACCGACTCACAATACAACACACACGACCATGACGGAGCCGCAGTCAGCGCTGCTACTCAGGAGACAGCTGGCAGGTAATCTGAAAGGCTCATAGCGGGGGAACGATACGAATGAGGCTAAAAGCTAAGCTAAAATGTAAGCCGGTGTGTTCTCGGGCGCTCGCTGGTGACGGTTAGCTCGGCTGCTAATCCACCTCTCCCGGCCCAGCTTCTCTGCCTACATGCCTTTGTTTTCGTGCATATTACAAATAAAAAACGCCACGTATGACCCTAGACATGGTCTTGAAAATATGTTCTGGGGCTCCACAATAGACCTGTACAAATATTTGCTTTTTGGTTGGCGTAAAAACCTTTTGAAAATGATTAAATGGCAGACTGTTTCAGCGGGCCTCTTCGTACCGGCCGGCAGCAGCTAACTAGCTTAGCTAGCTAGTTCTGTATTGACGTCTGTCAAGCCTTACTAGCTAGCTAGCACTCCTTTCCTTTCTTCATTCCTTCGCCAGCCTCTCAACATTCGCGTTTTAATTTCAGGTTTATTTTCATTATCGCTCATAGTAGCAGTAGCTGTATGGTAGAACTCGAAAGCACCGATAAGGAGTTTAATATGCGGCATGTTGTGTGTCGTCTAGCTACTGCAGTGGGGTAATCAAATCCCTTT